GAAAGCATTTGCCTGACCACATTCTGAGGTCCCATCCAACTCTACTACCTAACAAATCATTCATTCTTCTCAGGGAATATCCAGGCCCCCATTCCCATTTGACGCTCTATCCACTCTCATCTCATTCCATGCACATTGGAAGAAATATATATGTCTATGTGTGAGGCACCTCAGAGCCATATTTTTGTGAACTCTGGGAGTTGTTGGTAGAGGGAACCAGGAGGAGACCCTGAAAATCTAAAGCATGGCTCTAGCACCCAAATGGAAAATCCAAGGACCAAGGGAGCAGCCACTGGACAGCTCTGTGGAGCCTGATGACACAATAGAGTGAGAGCACTGAACCTTTCTGATAGCCCTGGGGACAAGTGTTCATACTCAGTCTGCCCTGGGAATCAGAGCTGTGGTCCTGAATCCGTTAAGGACACCACTCCCTGTTTTTAACTATCAGTTAACACTTCCCTCTGTAAAGTTCACATTCATTCAACAATTATTTTGCCCCTTAAAAACACCAGACAGAAAAAAGAAATTGTTTTATAACCCTATAATCACCAGCAGCCAGCAGACACTTCTAAAGCATGTCTATGTGTCTGACTCTTCTGAGCCCCAAGGTAACATGCCAGACCTGGATTTAAAGCACCATACACAAAAGGTCAAGGTTCAGTCGGAAATGTGGAGACTCCTTAGATTCACCCCAGGCTTCACTCCATGCAGCATTTTCTCAGCCCTAGCCCAGGCCCTACCGTACTTCCAACATCTTTAACTTATTCTCTCTGGGCATCAACATTGGACCATAAACTCCTGTGAACTCAGGGACAGTTTCCCAGAGATCATTGTATTCTCCCAAGCAGAGAGTCAGTAAATGTTTATTCAACACTATTTTTAAAAGGCTTAGTGCTATTCGTAAGATAAAATTGAGAGGGCAAAACCTAGTCCCTGCAGAGAAAGCACAAAAAGCATGAAAAGTAATTTTAACTCCAATCAGCAATGCAACAGCTGCAGAAGAAGAAAGTCATTTACCTGGGTGCATGGATGGTAAATGAAGACTCTAAAGAAGATTGACACCTCAAATTATTCCTGAAAGTGAGTAAGACTTAGACAGGAAGAGGAATGGATAGGCATGCCAGGCAGGACAGTTGATGTTAGTAATGATGGACATAGAAGGACTGGTTCAAGAGAGCACAGCATCAATGAAGAGAAATTAGAGAAGTAGATGGGAGAAGGTGTTTGAAGTCAAATGGTAGAGGGTCCTCCCTGCCAAGCTCAGGAGTTTGGACGTTATCTTATATGGAAAAGGGAGCCATTGAAAGTTGTAGGTGAAAATTACAAATATATACTTTACAAATACCATTTGCTATACACCTTGCTGTGAAATCTGAATCTGTCATTGATAATAATGCCAGAGGCTCTACGGCCAGTCAGGAGATGATTGACAGTAAAATTGTCTGAATCAAAATTTCTATCTTCCTGGTGAATAGAAATAGACTGGAAGCCTTCCTATGTACGAGCTATCATTTCCTGCTAATAATCATATTTGACTTGAAGGAAAAATTTTTCATTACTCTCCCAGAGATAGAAATTAAAATCATAGTCACTCTTTTATCTTTCATTTTTGACCTCTGGGTCAGAGTCTATAATAATCCCACACCTCTTTTTATAGCACATCATCACATAACTCCACACACGACACTTCTGGTTTCATTATTTTTTTCTTGCTCACTTTCAGGTCCACATTTGTTTCACCCTTACATAAACATATTGATATTTTTGAAATATGCATATATTCTTGTATATGCACTGTTGTTTTGCATTTAACAAGTTTAATTTGTGTTTAAAATGTGGAGAAATGGAATTTTGCTTTAAATCTCATTCTTTTTTCTTTTAGTACATAAGGTGGCTTTCATAATTAATTCTTATTGCTACATATATATACACGAAAATATCGACTCCACATTCACTGTATGGTATGCCATAGAAAATACCCCCCCCCCAGTGCACTTATCAATTCCTCTAGTGGAAGGCATCAAGGATCGATTTCAATCCCCCATCATCATAAATAATGCTAAAAAGGCATTCTTGTATACAGTTCCTTTGTGAAAATTTCTCTGGGTTTGTGTTCAGAAGTGGGATTGCAGAAGTAGGGCAATTAAATAATTTATTCTCCCAAGGGTATTTGGGGACATGAAAGGAGCACTATTCATAATTATACCAGGACTTTAGGTTCCCCTGCTACCCTTGGTAAGAAGGCCTGTCGCCTTAGTCTTGGGGCATGCTCACACTTATTTTCATTAAGATTGTCAGATTGCTATGTAAAATGATCAGACTCATTTCCTCTCCCTCCATTGATTGAAAAAAAAAAAGATTCTTGCAAACACCTGGCATCATCCAGATTTCCAAATTTTCAGCATTCAGATGTGACTGAAGTAGTCTATGTTGCTGTGACTACCAGTGAGTTTGAGAATCTCTTCAGATACCAGTTCATCATTTGGACTTCACATCCTTTGTGTTGTTTTTTTTTCCCCCTATGGTGTTTCCTGTCTTTTTCTGGTCCATTTGAAGGAATTATTTATACAACCTAGATATTAATTTGGGTTCAGGTTTTTTGTTTGTTTTATACTCAGTTTTAAGCACTATGAATATCTCCTCCCAGTCTTCAATCAGTAAATTAATGTTATGATGTTTATACTTTAAAGTATAAACATCAGGGTCATCATTTTCTCTTTAAATAAACAGATAAAACAATTTTTAAAAACAGATAAGCAATTTTGCTTAAACAAACAAAAGACATGATTATCTTTTCCCCAGACTCTGGCTGACTCTAGCTCTGTGCATATTTTCTTAAAAACAATGGTATGATCTAAGGTTACTTTGGCCAAGCCACTGCCGTCCCTCATGATGGTGGTTCTTAAACTTCAGTGTGCTCCTGAACCACAATGTGTAGGGCCCCGACTCAGCATGTTTAACAAGCTCCTCAGGATTGCTGATACTGAAATCCAAGTGCCACCTATACAGAAACAGGGCGTAGGATCTAAGGAATATTGGGGATCACCTAATTCAACCCCCAGACCTACAGATATAACAGTCCAAGCCACCAGAGGACAATCACCATGACCAGTGTCAGGTAGGAAGACACAGGTCTCTTGCTGGGATTCCCAGGTGGAGACTCTTGTGATCGCACCAGGCAGGACAGGAAGAGAACTCTCAAGTGTTTTCCTCATTGGCAGCTTCTAATCTGGAATGACCCTTCCATTTTTTTTTTATGCAACTAAGTGAGCCCTGGTTTTGTTTCACAGTTGACTTTTTGTCCAAGGCTTGGGATGACAAAAAGATGAAATGCTTTCATTTTTGGATATCATTATTATCAGCATGGTTGAATTAGGAGAGCAACGTGTTTATTTCTTGCATTCTCAACATTTTGGAAGCTAAGAAAAGGATGCATGAATCCCTCCCGGCCCTCCCACCATGGATAGCCTCCTCTGAAAATAGCCCTCACCAAACCTCCAGAGTCCAAAGCAAACAAAACTACAAAACTCGGTTTTGGCGTCTCCTGTTTCGTATTCACACGATGCAAAACACATGGGCCAAATTTATGTCGCTGCAATTTGCCTGGCAGCCGGCATTTAAATCACCAAGATTGCAGCTCCACGTTTTAGGGTGTCGTTTGCAATCCTGTAGCCAAGAGCTCTGAAGGAACAAGCTCACATGAAGGGTCGTTAGCCAACCGGATGTGATGGGACTCTCTAGCAGAGAACTAATTAGTATGCTGTGCCGTATCTGCATATCTCTCAAATAGACATTGTTTGTGTCTTTCCTCAGTGACAGGGGGAGATTGTTCCATAGAACACCTTACCTTTTAATATGCGGGGTTTGTTAGAAGAACAGCTCAATTCATATTTCCCCTGGTTTGATGGTAAGTGAACAGCAGTGGCAATATTAATCTGTAGTAACCTGTCAGTGAACTCTACAGCTAATATGATGTAGTTATGATTTTACCATCAATCAGGACTGAACAGGCTCTGGGCAATCCTTACAGCACAGCCTCAAAAAATCTAATTGTGCAAAAGCTTCATTGGTTTCCAACATTTCTTTTTTATCTGTCACAGGCTTTAGGCCTAGTACACAACCTTTTATTATTGGCCTTATTGCATTAGCTTGTCGGACAAAGAAGAAAAGGCTAGAGCAGAGGGTTCCCCTGCATTCCATCATTTGTTTGCATGCAGGATTTTATTTGACAGTCCTGTATTGTTTTAGATGTAGATAAAAATTATTAGGACATATGGCATCATATGAACTTTTGAACTGCCAATTGCCCATGTATCCTAAAGGACTAGAGGCATTTACAAATTCAACTCTACCTACGGAGATAAAGATGCTGCATGGACCAGCAAATAAGGTGTCCCTGGGGAATTGTATTTTCCAGTCAATGCAATCTAGCATGTTCTCCTTGACCAATTTTTATGCAGGGGAGGAGTAAAATCATTGGGAGATGGAATATTAATGGCTCAGATGATTTTTAGCCAAAACAAAGTTTGAATATGTGTGATAATAACAGAAAAACAGCCCACTTTCTCCAAGACCCTGCACACACAGTGTGAAGTGGCACAAGGCCACATGGTCTTCGTCACGTGCAGAACATGTCTCTGGGTGTGGGAGATGCAATCAGATTCGGTTCCAATGAAAGCATGTGTGTAAAACACAAATCCACATCAAAGTAGCTCCATCTCTTGAGTCCATACATAGGGTTGGAAGGAACTGCAAGTCTTAAAGCATATACAAGCATTCAGGAAGATGAACTATTAACTTTATCTACTTAGGCACTTTAATCTTTTGCATCTTAAATGCAATTGGGTCTTTGGAACTGGGAAATTGCTAATCAGCATGTTGGGTAAATGTTTCTATTTTAAAATGTGCACATTTAGAAAATCACAGCTGGCCATAAAGTACATATTTATGTTTGTGATTTAATATATCACAAACTTTATATTTTATTTCACTTAGCGTCACAAAGAGACCATATCATTTTTTTTGTGAAAGCATTATGTAACTTCTACAACAACGTTATGACTCAAAACACATATATGGTAATAAATCAGATATGTATATAATGCCTGTTTTTCAAATTTGAAATGCCTTTTAATAAAAAATTTTAAGGATTAAATCCATCTCTTACATTGTTCTAAGGCATTTAAAGATTCAATTGAAAAATTCCTATTCATTCATCAGGAAAAATCTGCATAGAATTACAGTGATTGTCTTTTGAAACACTGTACCCTTGCATCAAAGGAAACATATTGTGACTAAGGGCACATCAACAGCACAGCTGAGTGTTAACCCTTTCCTCACCAGCGTGCACATTGTTCACACCTAATAAAAATAGCTGCACAGAATGAGGAAATGGCCATGGCATCCTGCAATAAGCGTTCAGGAACGTGCCTTGGAACAACTGAGGTAGCTGCAGGAGGAGAAAGACAAAAACAGGATGTTAGAATTTTTGCAGCACTGGTGGTGGCTTTGAGAGCTCTCTGGCTACGTCATCATTTGTGAAATTTGCTTTTTAAAAAAGGTTGTCCCTAGAGAATTCCTTTCAGATATTTAAATCTAAATGGTTGTGAGGAAGACCACCTGAAAACAGCTCAGTTTTGTAAGGCCTCTTAGAAATTTATGGCTCCTAATGCCAGCCTTCCTGACCACGAGGCCGCACACCACCAGCTCGAGCCTTTGTCATCATGGGAAAATATTTGTATTTGTCAGAGGAAGGTTAGTTCCAAAGAACCATAACTAAAAGGAGTACTAGATCTTATTGTGTTGTTATTAACAAACAAGCCATGGCAGAGACTGTCCATATGAGCAGGCTGAAAGACCTAAACTAGTAAGAATCCCACACTGGAAAATGACTGAAAAATTAGAAATCTGTTCAGTGTAACCCAGACATTGTTCAAAATACATACAAACACACTGATGCAATTTTTTAAAATTAAGAAAATAACTATAGAGACATGGGCGTTACCTATATAATATTAATGTCAAGTGATAGCAACAGTGAAAATTTTCTTGAAAAGTAGAAAATGCCAAGCAAATGAAAAATGATATTTCACTAATGTTCTTTTTGGGTGAGCTGGACAAAAGATAACTGGATTCATCATATAAATATTCCCATTGCTAGGAAGTAAGAAAAGATGTCTTTCAATAAAGGATGCAAAATCAAGGGCATCTGGGCATGGTGGCATAAGCCTGTACTCCCAGCTACTCAGGAGTATGAAGCAGGAGGATCATGTGAACTCAAAAGTTCAAGGCCAGCCTGGGCAACAAAGTAAGACCCCCCAGCTCCAGAAAGAAAAACAAAACAAAAGAAAAACATGGCAAAGGGTTATAGAAGAGAATTAGAAGTGAAAACTTGGGGGGCAGAGGAATGAAGAAATTCTCTTAAAGGGGATCATCAGATCATAGACATAGAAAAAAGACAGTTATTGGGAAGATAGGGAGAAAAGTTTACAAAACCCATACACTAATTAGCTAGAAATTTGAAACATAGATAATAAATATTACTATGCAAATTTCCATATATTCAAACATTAATTTATATATGTGATATGCTACATGGAATATATATTACCATTTTGTGCTAACAAAATGTATTTTTCCAACAAAATGTCTTCTAAAGCATATCTTAGGTACATATAAATGTAGTGTATTTTGTCTCCATTGAGAATATTTTATAGATCCCAGAGAACTTAATATAATTAAATTCGTATAGCTTATGTTTTCAAAAATTATACTCATGTTTTGAAAGTTTAAAGAGCAGTAATTACTCCAGTAATATTACAGAGAGGAGAGTAGAAAGAACTGAGAGGTAATGTAAAATCACAGTGGCAAAATGTGTCACAGTCCAGCAACCAATCAGAGTAAAACACATTTATAAGCTCAGCAGGTCAGAACATAATAAAGCTGATAAGAGTACAAAGATTTTAAAATTATTAGAAAACATAAATGATACATAAATCATTGAGGTAGGATCCATCAGGATTTCCTGGTATTTTGCTGTAGAAAAATGAGTGAAATTGAATGGAAGTCTTCAAATACATTTACTTGCATTCCTTTTTGGATAGATTTATAGTATCCATACAAAAGTTTAGATCATCGGTGTAGTTGACTACAGTGTACTGTAGTTGACTTATATTGCTGATCTAAATTTTTGAAACATGTTATGGGTCAAATGAAAAGCTGTATTTAAAACCAATATTTTGTAAGGAAATGTTAGTTGAAACTTAGCCACTTCACGGGGCTCATCTATTAAAATGTGTATTGTAATGTAGGCGACTTAGAATAGCTTCTGAAGTCCAGTGAACACATATGGATTCCATCTCAGTTCAACCACCTTACTGGCATTGAAACCTTAAGGCAATTTCATGCTTTAATCTTTCTCAGTTTTAGGGTCCTCTAATATGTCTATACTGTAATATCTACTATTATAGTTTTGTGTGGACCCAGATGAGAAACCACAGAAAGTGCTGCAGGCAGGGCTTTGTACCCGCTAAATAAAAGGGCAGTTCCTCAAACATTCATTTTAGGTCAATACTTCAGAACTCACAAAGGAAGGACCCTGAGGTATTCCCAAACCTTCTGAAATTCTCCACGCTTTTAGGTGTTCTGGGCTTCTGTCACCTTCCAGGAAAACCACACCTAACATATGCCAGCTATCTGAATAAGTGAGGGCATCCCACCAGAATATCTCCTTTAAATTAACATCAGCTTTATCTTTGACATCTATCCTGAATCTTGTTTCTATACCTTATTCTGGCAGAGACCCTAGAATCTAAAATGACCAGGAAGACGCAGAGAATAATGCTTTGAAATTCAATAGCTGTTAAATTGGAGTGTGTGGGAGCTTACATCAAGTTCCTCCCTTCATAAGCAACCTGCTAATTCCTAATTGTCCATGGTATTATTCCCATTTGCTTTCCATAGGAGGGCTAATTTCCTTCATGGTATGCTTTCACACACCCCAACCAGCCAGAGAAGTAGGTGCTAAATGAACTCTGGAGGGTGCACACAGACGGTTTCTTCTCATTGGATTGCTGATATCGAATACCCACATTGCACTTCTCAAATAAGCCTGCAGAGCAGTACACTCCACTATCTATAAGCTTTCTGAATAAAGAACATATATCTTTGAAAGTAGATACAACAATATGCCGGGGGCTGTAGAAATGCTTTCCATATAACATTTCATCCCATTCTTGCAAGGCTAAGGGAGTTACTATAGCCTTTCAGAGATGAGGAAACAAGCTCAGCCTTACCAAACACTAAGTAGTGGGGCATCTGAGTTCACAGAACTAGAGCTCACGCCACTATACTACTGTGTCTCAGAAATTCAAAAATGGCAGATGAATAGGTATCTAATACAGAGGGGTTTTAGTTTCTTTTGAGTAGAATTTCTACATCAAATTATCAATTAAAGAGAGACTATTTCCTCATTCCAGCTGCCAGCTCATTTCTACTCTCCTGCAAAATGGGTCAAAATCATCCTGTTGACCATCAATGCCTAAACAAGTGACTTGTCTTCTCTTACATGAGTCCCACTATTTTACTTATCAAGCGAACTCTATGAACTGATGCATTGTTTTCAACTTCAGCATTTTCCCTTCCAATCGTATTTCTGGGTACCTTTCAACTTCAGCAACATTCCCCATACTAACAAGATTTCCTGGTGTTAAAAAAATTTTGGACTTCAGAACGTGGGCAAGCCCAGGATCCCCAGCACAAATCAATATTCAGCATTACAGAAATGCAGGAGTGAGCCAATAGAATTAGCAGAGTAATTTACTGTGCCTCAGCTGCAGCTGGCAGGGACTGCAGAGGGACGCAAGCAGATGTTTGTTTGTTAATGGTGACTTTCTCAGTAGTCAGAGCCCAACACTCCATCCCTCCATTAGCAGCTCTGTCCAGCTTAATAAAAAAGGATAAGGGATATTTTGGTTTTGTTCAGTTGGTAATGCTAATTGAGTTCTTTTTCTACCATTCATTGCAACATCCCATGTTTTTCATGATTATAATAGAGAATAATATTACATGACATTTTAGATGTGTTATAGTGGAAAGGGAAAAGAATTTTACTCAATTACATCAGAAATTGTTATTGGAGTCAAAATTTCATGTGTGTGTGTGTGTGTGTGTGTGTGTGTGTGCATGTTTTTTATGCCAATATATCTCACCACAAACTTGGTAGAAAATGAAATGGCAGCAAGAGATATTTGAAAGAATATGCAAGTTTTTCTTTGTTATAGCAATTGGCAATTCTCTCTCTCTCTTTCTCTCTCTCTTCTCTCTTCTCTCTCTAAAAAAAATAAATTGAATAGACTTGTAGCAAGACATAGAGTCAAGGAAAACAGTTTTCTCTGGACTAATTTCTTACCCTCCTTATACATGGAACCTTCTGGGAGAAAAACAAAGACTTCAAGGGTAAGGATGCCCTCTTTGAAGAGGCCACTGCCCAGATAGTATACTATGAACCCATTGTAAGGCTTGACATCTCCTTTGGTTTGTTTCCTCATCTGGATCTTATCTGTGACCTGGGTTTTCTTTTGTATCACAAAGTATTTATCCAAGATGTATTTTCTGAAGGTTACTATGGCCGGTTTCTGAGCCAGATTTATGAGGGAGACAATTTCCTATAAACCATACAGGAACATTGGCATAGACTAGGTAATGGAGTCAGGAAGGGTGTTTAAAACATGAAAAGATGAAACAGTTTCCTCAAGAGTACTAGTTCAACTTCAAATCTTAGTGGAACTTAGAAGTATGGAAGGAAAGCCTTTGAGGTAGAGGGAATGGCTCACCAAGGGCACAGAGGTGGTAAAGAATAAGATTGTTTATGCTCAGGGAATCAAGATGAGTCATTTTGGCTGGATGTCAGTGGGGAAGTAGTCAAAAATTGGCCTGGAAAAGAAAAGATTCTGCAGCTTGGAACACTTTAAGTATTGGAGGATTATGAACTCGGTATTATCTGCCTCCAAGGTCTACTTCTACTCTAGAGGTTTACCATCCATGTTCTGAAGATTTCTAGAGATCCTCACAAGCCTGAGGTTAATTTGGAGGTGCATGATGGAAGTCCCTGGGCTCAACCTGAAGTCATCTTGGCTTCAACCTGACTTAAGAATTTTTTTGATGAAGGAGTTTTCCTTCTAGCAAAATTAGTAGTTCTACTCCACCTCAGAAGAGAAGGGGCTTTCAGACATGCTGAATCTGGGGAGTAAATAGGACAAGCAGAGGTATCCAAGTGCTAATATGAAGAATTGATCTTGGGATGAAGATACAGGTTCAGCAGCATGTGTGTAGAAGAAATCAATGAAAGGGGCTACCTACTTCTGTGTGGGTATTAGCTTTCCGGTATCAGTAACTTCATTCTAGTATGTCTAACATCAGTAGTTAAATTCCACTGGCATGTGTAGAAAGGCTAAAAGTTTCTAATTGCTCTGCAATGCTGGATGTCCACCCACCTCTGTACCCACCAGTTGTGTCCACTATTAAAGCACTTGTGTTTATTCTCGAGCCAGTTGTTGCAAGCTTCATTTGGTTTTGTGATTCATAATTTTATTGGATAATATATAAGCCAGTGTAATATGAATGCAAAAGGAAGTAAAGTTGTTGTTTCCATGAAAAATAAGTAGAATTGTTTGGAAAGACTAAGTCAAATCATTTGCCTTCCAATAAGGTGGGAATGAGACAGTGGTGGCGTATTAGAAGAAAATATACAAACTGGGCAGGTTTGGGCTTCAAGTTGTTTTCCAAGTGTCTTTAAATTCCTACAATTCAAAGAAATGGAAACTAGAAGCTGTAAGCGATAATTTTAAGAATGCAGTATATACAAGAACAGTGATATAGATTCTCAGCCTCAGATGTTGGCCCTATCTCAAAAGAGTGGGAGATTAATATATATGATGATTAATATTTACTTGTAAGTTTTAAGTGAAAAGAAAATGTTACATGGATTTGTCTGTATTGCTTTTTATGAGACTTCACTGTAAATGACATCTTTGTTAAGCTATAGCCACTTGTTCTGACCAAAAGAAGTGATAATGTGCCTACCATGTATCTCCAGTCCATGAACAGAAAAGGAATTCTTACCACTAGGAACAGAAATCAATCACTTTGGTCAAACCAACTAGAAAAATGTGGCAAGAAACAAAATGATTGTTGAACTTGGATAAAGTTTCCCAGAACTCATAAGTACAGAAGAGGGGAGAAGAGAGAGAGAGGGTTGAAATTCTGAATGAGTTGACTGTAATTTCCTTTGTAAAATCATGTGGGAAGAACTAACTCTCTTCTTCCTACAAACACATGTACATTCAGTTATTACTAATACACACAATTCTGCCAGTCCCTGTGATGACATTAAATAAGGTTTCCAGCTCCCAGGGCAAGGACTACTGTGAAGGTGCTTTAACTGTGTGTCAAGGTCAGATTTTACTTTGCTGCCCTGGAGAAATATGAGGAGCTGGAGCAAGCAGAAGAGGCTGCCCTGCTCCCCAGCAGCTGCTGCATCGTGACCCGGAAGCCCTGAGTGCTTTGCATTCAGAGGCCTGCGTCTCTAATTGGCACTGCAGCCAGGACAGGCTCCTCCCTGAAAGAGAGAGAGAGAGAGAGAGAATTGTGTGTGTGTGTGTGTGTGTGTGTGTGAGTGTGTGTGCGAGGGCCCACGCTCACCTGCTTCTCTTCTCTTGTTGCCATGGGTTACAGAGCCCACAGCCTGATAGTAGGGCCAAGCACTCAGGCTGGAAATAACAGTGTCAGCCTCTGAAAACAAGAATTAGAAATAGGGAGCAGGGAAACAATAGCAAAAGAACAAAAATCAGCATCCTGATGCAGCCTGACTGTGAGCCTGGAAGCCAGGCAGTCTAAAGGAGAGCAGCTCTTCATAAATCTAGCCCTCACCAGACAGGCTGTTCTAAACAGCGATGGGGAAGAAAGAATGAGAGCCATCTCCACCACTGCCGTGCCTCCACCCGCCTGGGCCTAAGGTGTGGGTGGATGAGCCAACTTGGAGAAGAATAAGCAAGTGTGTTAAGAGTTAAGTCAAGAGCTGGTGGGGAGCCCAGGGTCTGCACAGCATTGCAGTGTACCAGGCACTGAGGGGCTGGATGCCACCAACAGGAAAGAGGCTGTGACCTTGAGGAGGTCACCATTGAATTAAGGATTTTGAGTCTAAAAGTCAGCCTTGTTGTGCACCCTGCATCCACATACTCATTATTCTCTTCATTGGATGGACCATTAGTGAAAACAGTGTGTGAAAATATTTTGTATGAAATGTGTAGAAGTAGCAGAGTATTTTGCAGGTGAGAAAAACAGGTTCAGATCAGATAGGTCATCTACTTGGTGTGCATTTGTTTATTTTCTTTTGTTGCAGAGTGGAAAAGAGGAGAAAGGAAAACTCAAATGAAAGAGCTAATGTTTGCTGGTGTACATCTCAGATTGGACGGCCAGAGGTGAGAATCCCAGACGGAACTATCAAGAGAATTAATAACTAAGATGGCTGCTTTTCTGATGGGTCACACACTGCCTTTGGATGGGAGTATAAGGGCTGGCTTCCCCAGGCCTCATGGATGGCAGTATATTTGGAATCATATTTGAAAGGACACTGTTGTAGAGTATGTGTGGCCTATAAGCACCAATGCGAGCTTCCAAGAGCAATTTCTTCCTTCTTTGACCCCCAACAAATAAAAAGGTGAATGCCAGGTTCTTGCCTTGCATGTTGACCTTGACCATCTCCTCCCTGGATTTCACAAGACTATGTTCTGTGGTCACCATCTGTTATTGGCAGGAAAGGTTCCATTAGAGGTTGTGGCCTAAAGAAAATGAGTTTCTTGATGTCACTTACTGACTAGCTATCTGCTAGCTCCCTTTCCTCCTCTGTCTCCCACTTGCTAAACACATGGTAGCTGTTCTCCTTTTAACTCCCAGCATATCTCACTACTTCAAAAATTTCTGCTCACATTGAAACACATATGGGATGGTGTCACTTGTACACCTCAGGCGGCTTTTGTAAAACCTTACTCTTTATCCTACTCCAGTAGAACAGAAATGACAATCATGGCCACTTGCTTCCAGGACCCTCCTAGCGGAGACTAATGTCAGGGAGGGGTGAGCCTGTTTCCCTCACAGAGGTGTGGCAAGATTGTCAGCTCTCTTCTCCCCCCTGAGTTCCAAGGGCAGGACACAAGGAGGAGAGTTCAGGCCAAGTTTCTTAGAGGGCAATAAAATATTCCACATGTCTTTGTGAACCTCCATCAGGAAGCAGGAGGGAGCCCTGCATGCTGGAAACACACAGGGAGTTGTAGGCTGCACCTTGAAATGCAATCTGTCCCAGGAAACCCAAGAAACAGGTGTCCGGGGGCTCACATCCCATCAGACGTACCACAGCTATTCCAAATGCTTTAGAAAGGAGTTAACCTCTCTCTGCTAAAGAAATTAATCCAGAGCCTAAATCCTACTGTTGTTAATGGCTAGATGACCTTGAGATGGATCCCGCAGCAAAGTCCTTTGATCTCAGCTTCACCCTCTGGGGCTGCAGATTTCTCTCTGTAATCAAAGTCCAAAGATCTTTTTTCTTCCTTCAGGGGGTCCATGTGCACTCCATGAGTTTTTCAGACATCACACCCTGTCCCTCTCTACCTCACGTTCTCCCTGTCTTCCTTTCTCCATATCACGCTTACATTTGTCTTTCACTTCTGACTCCCACTCAGAAATAATTATTTAGAGTGCCAGAATTCAAAGACACACCAACCAGAAATGCTCACAGAGCACCTGCCGAATACCAGTACAGGCCAGGGACGTAACTGCAAACATTGCTGATGGGCTCCCATCCTCATTTGTACCCCTTTGCACCCCTTTGAGGGTGCAGCATGTATGAGAAACTTACGGGAGTTGGATAAGCTGGAGTGCAGAGATGGAAGGAAAGGTAATAAAAGACAGTGTAAGAAGAGGCTGGCAGGAGCCAGGCCATGGAAGCCTGTCAATCTTTAAACCACATCAAGGAAATACACTATCCTTTGGGCAATGGGAGCCATTGAATGTTATAAACAGGAGGGAGGATAATCAGATGTGTATTATAAACAGATGGAACAAGATTGGAAGGGGCATGGGAAGATCAACAGGGGACTAGTAAGGGAGCAACTGAATAGAAGTAATCATGGCCTTGAGTACAGTAGTGGCCATGGGGACAAGGGAAACTGACCTGGATACTTATCTAGAAATTGAACTTAAGATCTGACAGCTATGTGGGCCTATGGATGAGTACAGCATGTGAGCTGCCTCCAGAGAACTCATTAATTATGGAGCAGGAGTGCAGTCACCTCAGATGTCTATCACTGGGCCTGCCCTGACCACAGCCCAGCTTAAAGGACAGGTCAAGAGGAGCTTGGGTTAAACAATGTAATCCTACTCCAATTGGTCACAGTTGATTAAACCAAGGGTAAGCACCTCACCCCAAGGCAGGCTGGCCACAGGCTGGCCGGCAACCAACAATGGGGCTTGGGCCACACCTGTACTCCAGACTCATTAAGTTTGCTCTCTTTAGGACAGGAACTATGAAAAATGCCAAGAGAGCAACATAGTTAGTAATGAGAGCTAAAGTTTAAAATGGATGATACAGAGAGAGGGTGGAGCAAACAGGAACACAGAGGGCCGAAACTGTAAGGAATAAGAGGTTATGTCAGCAATAGAAGCCAGCCCAAAGTCAGCATGGAGCAGGTGACAAAAATAAGCATATCAACCAACAGGGGGCAAGGAAGAGCACAGGTGATTTTTAGAACTATCTTTGGCTCTGAGCATTTTCTATTTCTAATGCTGTTCCACAGCATCTTTGCAAATAAATCGCTTGCATAGCTTGAGAGTCTATTCATTGCAACAAAAAAGCATAACCAAAATACTCACCTAATACTCAGCCCAGCATCACACGCTTATCTTTGCCCATCTGCTTGTGCCCACTGTGTTCGTGATGCCAGCTGCGCTAGATTCCTCATAAGGAATTCTGCCCCCTCTGATGACTTACTGAGAAATGCCTTTGGCCACACTCGGTAGGTACCTTAAAATCAGAAAGAATGTAAGGCCTCATTCCAGAGATTCTGTTCTATGGCAGAATTTTAAACCCATGACTTGTTTCAGTGGGTTGAAAATGTCTTTGAACGTGTGCACCCATCTCCAGAGCTATGATTAATTACTGGCTGTGCTGCTGGTTATGCCTGCAGCTCTCAGCAAGAAAATGAGTAAAAAGTATTTGAGTTTTTATGTTCTCTAGCAAGAAGCCTTTTTTAGAGGAAGGAAGGAAGGAAGGAAGGAAGGGAGGGAGGGAGGGAGAGAGGGGGGAGGGAGGGAGGGAGGGAAGAAGGGAGGAGAGAGGTAGAGCTGGAAGTAATTTGTAACAAGGTTCCTACGTTTTTTAAGTGGCTCTGGACATTGTGTCATTGTCCTGAGCCACAACGCAGGCAGGTGAGGTGTGTTGCTTCTTCCCCACACACGAAGTTATCCTCATCACGCTCCGTGCACATTTCTGAATTAGTTCCAGCTAGTTAGTGTCACTGCAGGACAATTTAGACTGCCATTGTTTGAGTATTCAACATACTCTTCGATGATGGATTCCCAGAAAAGGCAAAATCCATTATTTACACACAGTAGGAAAATAAACCTTCTCCTCAGCCTAAGACATGAAGATCGAGAAAGCTTTTCATTTTAGACAGTTGGAAATTTCACATTCAAGTGGCTTTGTCAACTCCTTTAATCAATGTCCTTTGGAAAAACAAATTTAGCAATTCAGCTCCTGTGTTCGGTAGGGGTGAGATGTAACTAAGGATATTAGCTATCAATGGTTCATGGTCTGTTAGCCAGCACCAGCTTGCAATAAAGTACAGCTAAGCTAACTGACAGTTGTGCCTTGAGGTAACATCAAGCATCCCAGTTTAAAAAAAAAAAAAAAATCCCTCCAGATTTGAAAAATACAGGTAGGGCAGTTGGAAAAAAAAAAATGGTTCTCTCCAGTTATAAGAAAAATACTTTTTCTGTTGGATCAAAGATGCTTCTATAGTACAGTCATGGTTTCCAAGCCACTATTGCAGGGACAGTGAGGGGAAGAGGATGTGAGCAAAGTGTCCATGTACCCTGTGGATCTGGGAACTGGGAAGGGAAGAACTGTGCCTCATAGCAAGAGCTCTGCCAGGCACCACCTGAGTGGCCAAGGAGATTTCAGGTTGGGTGGTCATTGTAACCGGACTGGGGAAAGAGCTATAAAAGTGTGTTTCCCAAACTATGTTTCTAGAAATAGATTTGATGCAACATAAAGGAGGTAGTGGTGCAAGGTCTAATTAACTGGGGAAAAAATGTGTTAAGTAAAGCTAAAGAGGTTTGTTTTTGTTTGTTGCAGGGCTCCTTGTTGCTTTTAATAGACTAATGAGTCTGTAGGAAGGGTATAGCTTACAGTCTTCTCAATTTCTTTTCAGCAGGGCTCTTGGGAACCTTCTGATGGAGCAGCTCACCTCCCAGGAGCCTGTGCAGTGGAAACACTTTTGGAGAGGTGCCGTCCAGTTCTCAGTTCTGGGCTTGCCCAGGAGGTCCTGCTCACTCTCTGTCTGCCTCTAGATACCCTGTGCAAGCTGTCGCTCATAATTGCCTTGAAGTTCTGAATTCTTTTCTGACTCTGTTCTGACACTGACTCTTTGACACTGACATTCCTCTCAGTTGTTCTAAGTACTGCACTAACTGCATCTCACCTCCCCTGGTTCCTAGCTTATGCGCCTGTTGTGTTCTTCTTCACTGCCTGGAACACAGTGGCCCTGGTTCTCCCAGGCACAAATCCTGGATCACAGTTCACTGAGCAATGCCCTGCTCAGTCCACCCCAGCTCCTCAGCAAGATTTGATTTTCCAGGGGTGGTAGCAAACACTCAGGCATGAACCTGCTTACCTCTGCCCCAAACTCCTGATGGAGAGTCCTTCTGAGCTGCCTCCACCTTCTCCAGAACTCTGAGATGTCCTGAGAGGCTTACAGACTACAAGATGATTCAGAGAAAGGGACAGGGGCAATGTTGCTCCCATCCCCCATATCTTCCCTTCCACAGTCTGTCGCCTTCTCCTCCAATTACAGTCCTGTCTTGTCTTGCATAGACAGGGTTAGCTTGGGGCACAGCAGTGCAGGAGGTGATGCTGTCTTTCCAACAAAAACTCATTCTATTTCTTATGCCCCATCCCCAGCCTCCTCCTTCTGAGTCTCTCCCCTCTCTCCCTCATCTCGCCACCACTGGGGACTTTTTCCCCAGCACAATTGCACTTATCTAACATCAGTCATTTATACATAAGTACAATTTAAAAATCAGGTTTTGCCTCTTTGGAGACTTTTTTTAAAAAATATTAGGGAATTAGGGAATGGAATGAGTGGCCTCAGGAAGTAGGTTAGAGAGTTATACTCCCTGCATGCTAGAAATCACAGAGTGCCTTTGCTGAATGCTGCCACATTGAATTGGAGAGCAAATGAGGGAGTCTCCAAGTTATTCTGTGCCTCTGGCTTGGCTTCCAGGTGGTAAAGTGGGAGTAAGCAGATCTCATACTTCAAAAAAAGTTCTACCTGGAGCTAACCATTTGGTATTGCAGTTATGCCTCTTACCAGCTGAATTTTCATTTCATTTTTATGTTTTTATTTCTTATACTACAAAATGGCATTATTATTATTATTTGACATTGCAATATGAAAGAAGACAAGAAAATGACCCAGGGCTCTTATGATCCTTTTTCTCTTTTAACATTGATGGTCTGTCATTGATGGAGCAGAGAGATGCTAGGAGGTATTGCAGGAGGCACCAGGGTCCTCTGCCTAGCAAGACTGAGAACTGTGATGAGAATGGTGAATGCAAGAAAGGCAACCGGCCAGCTAAGAGAAAGGCACTGCTGGTTAGGGAATACTCGGTTTTCTCAAAGTTGTAAAAACTCTTTTGTTAACTAAGTTATAAGCCTCTTTGGACCACTTGGTCTGTGGCATTCACCAGAGCTGCCCACAAAAGATGCTCATGGGAAGTCACATGAGCAGTCTCCCTTAATTGGCTAGTGCATACATACTAAATGGTAGGAAAAAGGACTATTAGGTGTAGCACCATCTCCTTTCTGAGTCCAGTTCTAGGCACTTGATTCTCAGCATGAAACTTTCTTGGTATGGAAACAAAGTTGCATGTTAGGGAACTGGGATCCATCAGCCATCTTTGCATTTCAGATTCTCGGACACATCACCCCTTCTCAGAGCCTCCCTGGACCTCTCCACATGAAACTGCATTCTTTCTCTCTCTCTCTCTCTCTCTCTCTCTCTCTCTCACACACACACACACACACACACACACACACACACACACACACCCTTCTAATTAATTAACTAATTAACTAAACTTCTTTTTTTTACTGTTTATTTCTGTGTCCTCTACTCACCCCACAAAATATACAGCCAAGAAGGCAGGGTTTTAAATATGTTTTGTTTCCTGCTATTTCCCCAATACCTCTCACACAGTGCCTGGCACACAATACATGCTCGATTAAAATACAGTGGCTGATGGAATGAATCGATTAAAATTGTTAACCCTCTGGAAAGGTACATTATCCTCTCTTACAACGTGGAATCTGTTGTTCTACCCTTATACACCCACATTTCACATATTTTAGAAATGTATTACTCCAAAAGTAAGGCATTCTCTATATTACTATTTAAAAGTCAGTACTAAATTTTGTTGGATAAAATAAATACTTCCAAGTCATTAAGATTATTTTATTTTATGTGTACCATAAATAACACATTTGAGGTTTTTTTCCCTTTTGGGGAGTGTACTGGGGATTGAATTCAGGGGTACTTGACCACTGAGCCACATCCCCAACCTTATTTTGTATTTTATTTAGATACAGGGTCTCACTGAGTTGCTTAGTGCCTTGTTTTTGCTGAGGCTGGATTTGAACTGGTGATACTCCTGCCTTGGCCTCCCAAGCTGCTGGGATTATAGGCCTGTGCCACCATGCCCAGCTCCATGTATTTTTGAGGTAGAATCTGACTACAAAGCTCAGAACTACAAAGCATTTTCCTATATTTTCAACATGATAAGTTTCCTGAAAGATGTCTAATAAAATTTCAATAAATAGCAAACTGAGGTGAAGGAATGTGATTCAATCAGGTCAAGTGGCTCTCTAAGATCACACAGCTGAAAGAAGACAAATTTAAATCAGAAAACAAGGATCACAATTTCCTCACCAGTAAGATTTCTGCTCACCAGAAATATCATATTAGAATGATACCATATTTTAGCACATTATTTACCAATAAATAATTTGCACTAAGTTTTCAAGATCTAGAGTGGTTTCCAGAGGGAAGTCTTGAGTGAAGACATGACGGGGCACGTTTACAAGAATCTCTAGCTCCTAAACCACCTGCTTGGAGATGGAAGCCCATTTTAAGTCCTATAGAACATTTCTAATGACATTTTTTTCCTAGTTGTCAATAGACCTTTATTTTATTCAATTATATGTGGTGATAAGAATCCAACCCAGTGCCTCACAGATGCTAGGCAAGTGCTCTACCTCTGAGCTACAACCACAGCTCTCTCTAATGGACTTTTATTGCTTCCTCAATAATTAAGAGTGACTTTTAGGAAATATTTTACCATTTACTTTAGAAAGATAGCACTGAAAGTGGCTTTGGTCATCATCTGCTGAAGCCCCTTATCTTTACACAGGAAATATAACACTCAAAGTTCACATTATAGCCCAAGCAAGTTAGTGGCAAAGGCTGTCTCTGACTCCCAGGTACCCTCTTTATTTTAATGAGGTGCTTGGACAGATGACAGCAATCATCAAATTGCCTTCTAGATTTTCTTACTGTAGAGTAACGACTTCAAATCACATGGGTATTTCAGGATAAGTTCATTTCCCAGCATGTTTTTGCTCTCCAGATTTTAAGGTATTTGAAGATCTAAAATGTCTAAGAAAAAATGAGAAACGTGGAATTAAAAAGATATGTCCAGTTCCCTCTCCATCCTTGTTAGAAGTGACTCTGGGTGAAGTCATTCTTCATGAACAGACAGCAGGGTCTCAGGACAAAACCTGACCTGGGACTGAAGGCTGCAGCTGAGCTGTGCACTTCATGGAACACCCCCCAGTCCTATCAACCTGCTCAGTGACCAATGTTTGTCGAACTGAATCTATCAGATTTTAAACCATTGTTGAAGTAAATTCTATCCCGTGTGCTAGAGGGAAAGACTCCAAATGAATCGTCATTTTTCTTTGCTTAATTCTATCCTTTTAAATGAATGCAGCTGGAAACCATAAATAAATAGCACCTACTGCATAAACAATAACACAACACAGACCATAGAGTTCAATAAACGTGTGATGATGATGATGATGACGATGATGGCATCCACATCTTCTGCCTACCATAGACAAGATTTCTGGGTTTAACAATACAGTTTAATATTGTAAAGGAGTAGCATAAGGTCTCTTTGTAGTGATGGAAGAATTTTCTATTTTGTTCGTGGTGATGGCTCATGCTTCTACACGAGTGATAAAATTGCATGAAACTATATACACAAATGAGTGCAAGTAAAACAGGTGAAATCTAAATATAGTCCATGCATTGTGCCAATGCTGATTTTCTGGTCTGACTTTATACTACAGTTCTGCAAGATGTTACCACTGGGAGAAACCAGATGAAGAGTGTACAGGACTTCTTTGTACTATTATGCAACTTTTTGTGAATCTATAATTATTTTCAAATTAGAAGTTAAGAAATGATGCAAGGTTTTCCCTTTTTTGTAACTTTTAAGACATGTCATTAAAATGTAGATATTTTTAGACTTCCTCAGTTACTGAAAAAAATTCTTTAAATAAAATTCTGAACACTTCCTAGGGATTGCTCTTATTAAAATAGAAAGAACTCTTGCCAGTAAATGGGTATCAGAGTTAAAAACTGTTATGCAAATAGCTGATTTGTAGTATCACTCATTTTAAACTGTTACACTTTTAAACATATATTGTAGGTGCTAAAATTTAAGGTATTGACCAGCATATGGCAACTTTAAAAATTATAATAAAATAAAATAAAATTGGGCATTAAGAAAACTGAGCTTTAAGGTCTGTAGAAACTATAGAGAAAAAATTAAAAGCTCCAGTATGTGCTTAAGAAAAATATATGCACTTACCTTCTCTCCAAAATAATGTATGCTACGTTTACGAGGAAATTTTTCTGAGTCTGCATGCAAAGAAAGAAAGCTCAGTCTTTCATTCGCTTCTAGAGGAAATTTTATTTTCTGTAAAAAGCTAGTCAACTCAGAATGAAGGAACTAATTTATATTTGACCACTAGGTGTCACTGTTGGTGGTGGCGTGGGCGATGAGGAGGGGGAGGGGAAATAGAAAGCAATCTCAGGGATTTATTTATTTATTTATTATTGTGGCTTTGAGGTTTTTGTTTTTCTATTTTTTTAAAAAAAATTATTATTGTAGTTTTTAGTCGTCAATGGACCTTTCTTTTATTTATTTATATGCAGTGCTGAGAATTGAATCCAGTGCCTCGCACATGCTAGGCAAGCGCTCTACCACTGAGCAATCACCTCAACCTCTATTTTTTTTTAACACAAAATTCTCACATGACTGCATTTCTCCTTCTTTGCATTCAGAGGGACAACGTGGAAAGTAAATAGATAAATATGAAGGTACAGCTTTTGGAGATTCCGAACCCACCAACCATCAGAACACCTTAGGAAATGGGAAGTACGGAATACAGTGGAACTGTAATATCCCACAAAAATGGACTTTATTAAAGACAAGTCCATTTTAATAATTCCCTAGTCACTAGCAGGAAAGCAGAAAACGTCAATTACATCGCCTTCAGAGAGGAAAGCATTCCTCAGCCACGTCTGCTTCGTGCTGAAGAAATTAGATGAATAATTTATATTACAAAGCAGACTGAGGGGTCAGCTTGTGTGTGAAGGGATTTGAGTAAGGGCACGTGGGAAACGTCATCCACGAGGCTGCAAACGGATCCCAAAGAGAAGAGTCT